TGTTCTGACAATAATATTTGTTCTTCGTATCTGATGACTGTAAATGGCTTTGAACATTTAATGAATCAAGAGATTTATGTAATGGGAAACTGTTCTAAAAAGTAGTACTGGAGTCATTAATTTGAGATCATAATTATATTGGTATGTACGTCACGTGGTGGGAACAGGAAATACGTGAAAAATTATGATGATAAGTGTCTTGGAAAAGACTACTTGGGGAGTCAAACAGGAGGGACAGAATATTTAAATGGGTCTTAAGGAAACAGAGTTTAGTGATATATATTTAATTCAGCTGATAATAGTAGATAATAATGGTGAACTGTGTTGATGGTGTTGAACCTTTGGATTCCTTGTGAGAAGTAAGTGTTGTGTTTATTGAAGAAGTATAGATGAATTTAGAATAAATAAATTTTTATAGCCAGTATTTAGTATATTATCACCATCAAATTCAACTTATTTATTATATAATATTTCCTACATGTTTTGGCTGTATTTATGAATATGTGATCCCTGAAGATGTTGAGATAAAGCCTAAACTTGTAGGAAATTATATAAGAAAGGTAATAAATAAGTTGTAATTGTTAGCGAGACTATAATATTAAATTGTGGTGGATGCTGTATCAACTAGTAAGTCACTTGATGATGGGGAAGGCACTTGCACCTGAATTGACATGGTTGATAGCCCAAGAACATTTTATTGATTCTGAAAACGTGGTGAATTATGAAGTATATGGGAGAAGGCGATGGAATTTAAGTTATATATTAAACCCAAGGACCAGGATTTGTCTTGAGAAGCTAATAGCGGCTCATCTAGTCAATAAATTCCTCGTCTGTTTCTTTCCTTAACACAAGACCAAAACAGCAGCTGTTAAGGCATTGCATGGTAGCGAGCATTCCCCGAATTTAATAATCTGCACATAATGTCTTCCTGAATGCAAATTCGATTCGTGAGTGTGATTCAGATTCAACCTGTACTTTTTTGGACGTACCAAGGGAAATGTTGCCCAGGAGACCTGGTCCCTGTCCACAGTTTGAAACGGGGAACATGTGAAAGGGAAAGGAACGTGTTTATAAAATATTGTAGCTTGACGCTGCTGTTATCAGATGATTTTACTTGAGATCTCACAGGGTCAGGGTTGCTATCAGCGGATGGTCACGACGCGTGCAGTACTTGACCGCCACAAGAACATCTTGCATGCTACAACTGAGTGGTCACGCAGTTGTTTCAGGGATGGTTAAAAAGTTATTGGTCGGCATGCGTTTGATTCAGTGGTGGTTATCAACATTGAAAAGTGGAAATTTGGTACACGCTCCATTTCGGAAGTATTTGGACACTAAAGTTAGGTTAGGTTAGGAAGGTTTAGAACCAGTTCGGAAGTTGGTAGACGCTTCAGTGCAGAACTACGCAGTCTCCAGTTTATAAATAAGCCGATGCTCCAGGCCAGTAGAAAACGCAATAGGAAATTATTAGAGTGCAGGTTACGAATTCGTTACTACATTTCATTGGTAACGACAGTTCTGCCAACTTCAGGCATTGTCGTGGAACTAAGTAGACGGCGTCCAATAGGGGAATGTCTGTTGCTTTGCGTTTTTCTGTGTTCTGGGAAGGTGACTGACCTCCCCAACTAAATTATCTTGTTATATCTCTGAATATGATTTAAGGAACCTCTGGAATTAGTAACATCTAACGTATGAAATTTTGCTACATACCAAAGAGGAAGAACTTGGATGTCACTGGGAATAAATAGTCTTCCGATGTGACAATAATTATGTATTAATAAAAAATTTGGTACACGCAACCTAGCTTGTTGAAAGGAAGGTAGCTCCCATTTTATAGTATAGTTCGTGTGTACGCTCCTTCAAATATGATACAGCGGATGTTACTGTAACTGGAGCTTTTGTTGTGTTGTTAGTGTGAATAAAGCTGACATTCCGAGTCGCTTTTAGCCATCAACTTTCCATTTACATTGGCTTTGTTGCCCCAAATAGTACCAACTGTTAAGATTGGGATACATTCCTAAAATACATGAAACACTAAATAACTATAGAACATTAATAAATCGTATTTCGCGAAGCTTCCTATAGGCTTTATAAAATCAAGAAAGAAGTTATGTAGTATCGTGTAACGTATACTTTAAATCAAAATATTTGTGGACGTATAAAGATTCCAACGGAAGTAGTAGATTAATAACCATACAACTGGAAGATCAGGCAATGTATGTACGTACAAAACTACAAATACTGTAGACTTGTAAGTGAACGTTGACAGACCTAACCTCGAAGGTAAGATCGTACGAAAGTTTCTCACAAACTATATGGATATATTTATAGGGCATGAGAAGTGATGTGTGTTCGCCATAAATATAAGTAAATATTTATTCGTAATTCCCTGACACATTACAAAAAGTCGCAGACTTGAATGGTGCAATGGATGATAACATAGGACATTCCGATAGAAAGAGAAACTCTCCAAGTTTATTTTGCATACCTCATAAATGCTCTGTGTGTCAGCCCTTTGTGACTTGGCAAACGTCAAGCCGATAATGTATTTTCGCCCATAACCCGATGCAGCATGTCACGATCGATTTGTGAGATGGCAGCGATGATTTGTCTTCGTAGCTCAGAGGCGGTAAAAAGACCTGGTCGTTAACGTCAGGTCAGGCGATCGGGGTGGCCAACGAAGCAGCGCATTGTAGGTGAGATGGCAGCGATGATTTGTCTTCGTAGCTCAGAGGCGGTAAAAAGACCTGGTCGTTAACGTCAGGTCAGGCGATCGGGGTGGCCAACGAAGCAGCGCATTGTAGTTGGCAGCCATGTGTCCGATCCAACGTTGTGGCAAATGCTGGTTGAGGTAGCAGCTGACGAGGCGATGGTAGTGTGGCGGAGCCCCATCTTGCTGATAGATGAAGTTATCGCTGTGACTATGATGATTATTCCTGCATCATCTCAAGATAGGACGTGCCATTGACGTTTGTCTCGGAGAAGAAGAATGACCCGTACACCTTCTCTTTGGTTATGGCACAGAAAACGTTCAGTTTCGGTGAATCGTGGGTTTTCACTTCCCCATAACCGCTACATTGTATCTGTTCACCTTCCCATAAACGTGAAACGTAGCTTCGTCGCTGAAAATCAGTTTTTCAGCGAAACTTGGAGAGTGTCTCTTTCTATCGGCATGTCGCACGTTACAATCCTTTGCACCATTCAAGTCTGGCGATTTTTTGTAATGCGTCAGGGAATTATGAATAACCCTGTATAGCCAACCATTTCTTGTGGTTGCATGTTGTAACTTTAAATTTCGAAATAAAATTGTTATTGGCAGGAAATGCATGTTTCTGTAGAATTATTAACGTCCAAAATTCAGGGATAAAATGACGGCATTTGTTACACCACAGAAGTTGGTGAACCATAGTTTGTGAAGCACTGTAAAATGTCTCCGTCCGCTGCGGTTCATTTCGTGTGTCTGGACCCTTATCTGTTGTGTCGTTCTTGAAACTAAAGTCGCAGTTTTCTTGCGTTCTGTTGCTGACTGGTTGTGGAGTGCATGAAGATCTGTTCTTTCTTTCGTGCTGTGCACCAAGGTAACTATTATCTATTAGTGCAAGAGAGGTTATGTTTGCATACTGGGCTCACGATGTTCAAGAACAGAGTGCTGAGGAGGATGTTTGGACCGAATCAAGATGAAATAACAGGAAACTGAAAAAGTTGTCAGTGGAACCACGGTTCCGGAGAATTAGACGTAAATACGTCTATACGGAAAGGAAGTTTATATATTGGCTTTATTCTAAATATTTCCTTTATACATGCTTTACAATTGAG